CCCCCCCCCCCCACTTATCCCACCACCGTTTTTCATTTTTGTGTGTCTGTGTTCCAACTGACAGGACCGACTCGAATTGAGAGTGAATTGATTCCGCAACTCTGGTCTCAGCTGAACGAACGTCCCCCTCCATCCTCATCGAAAAGACTATTGCTAGTCTCTACATGCGGTGCCGTCTCGCCCTGTGTTCCCGTGAGTGCATTTATAATATCCTCCATTCTGTTCTGGCAGTATATGTTTAGCACAATTGTTTCCTTCATCCGTTGCGTGCTATTTTACACATAATGCATTCATCTATTCCCTATTGATTGATCATATTTTGAGTAACGTACATGCTGTCACCTATCGTGCCATTCATCAGCAATGAAAATGATTCCTACATTAGCGTGTTCTTCAAAATGGTTTGAAAAGTGGTTAAACGAATAAGTCACAGATTCACCAAATCATTTGAACAAATATCAAACGCAAACACACCAGTGATATTCCACCGAATTGATCTGTGTTTCTTATGCTCAACCAATCATCTATGCGGAATTTCACAGAGCTTCCAAATGCGTCTATTTATTCCGATGCACCGGTATATGACACCTCCCCAGAATGTCGACCTTTGTTTTGGTAAGCAACCCATATTTATTGATCTTCACAACCATCCCACAAAGTTCATCAAAGTCCGTATGCGTTGTGGTCAGCTTTTTTCAAATTGTGACCTAGCAGTTCATGTCCAACGATTATCCGTCTTCGACAATCGTTGTCTGCTCAGCATAGCCCCGCGTATGGTGGGAGCATCGCGTGAATAACGATGAACTCAGACGACGGATGCTAGGATCAGATAGTTTTCCTCTGAGCAAAATAATTTCAACAGCGTCGTCCTAGGTGGCTGGGGCACGTCCTACGAATGCCTGAGCACCATTTGCCACACCGTGCACTACTCGCAGACACCGGTCCAGGCTGAAAGGCTGAAAGAAACAGCGAGCCGCGCATGCTATGACGTGGCGTAGAGGGTTAGAGAAGTTGTGCTCAAATATGTCTCTCGTCGGGGTTTCCCGGCTTCCCTGCTGAGGCCTCAAAGATTCAGATTGTCTTTGGCTGGATACACTGTGGGATATGGTATCAAACCTAATTCAGTGACGTGAATGCATCCTTTTCTGTGTGGGCTCCCAAAAATAAAATAAAACGAAAAATTAAACTTGGCCTGCATTAAAAACAAACCAAAAATGTTGTTATCCTCAAAATTGACTGTTTTTTCCCTCCTTTTCTGTTTCTATCAATCGTATGCAACTCATCGTTATTTTGGCACCGTAGCTGAAAAGATTGGTGTCAAATATA